AGATTCACTCAAATTGTGGGCACAATCCAGTTTCTTGTAGCTGTAGGACTGAGGTCTCCATTTCCTTGCTGGCTGTCACCTGGGAACTTCTATTAGCTTTGAGAGGCCTCTTTTTAACTTTGTATCTGGGCAACTGTATCTCAGAACCAGTGATTGCACATCAAATCCATCTCACACTTGAAAGCTCTTGGATTTCCTCTTCTGCTGCATGTCTGACTTTAGCTGGAGAAACTTCTCTGCTTTTAAGAGCTCAAGTGATTAGACTGGCCCCATCTGGTTAATCCAGGATAATCTCTGCACCTCGAGATCCACAACCTTAATTACATAAAGTCCCTCTTGCCATATAGAATAACATATGCACAGGACCCAGAGATTAGGGTATGGACATGAGGGGAAGGGGTGACATTAATTGGCCTACTACAAGGCTACTTGGGAAACCCGGATTTAAATTCTGCTTTAGCCAATTTTAGTCTTTCTATTTTCTTAGCTCCTTGAGCTTCTTTCTTCTTAGTCGAGAGAGTTGATAGAATGAAGTTGTTCCTTGCAATTCTTTCTTCAAGTCTTTATTCATCTTCCTGTAGGAGTTGTGTTTTCCATTTATATTGGTGATGTATTCCTATGTTTCAAAAAGTTTATTCGCTATTTTTAAGAGGTAAACTATCTCCTAAATTGATTTTCTGCCAAGTTTCATGACATGTTGTGTGTGTGTGTGTGCGCGCGCGGGTGTGTGTGTATGCCTTTGTGTGTGTGTATGCCTGTGTGTGTGACAGAATCTTGTTCTGTCACCCAGTCTGGAGTGCCATGGTGCAATCTCGGCTCACTGCAACCTCCACCTCCTGGGGCAAGTGATTTTCTTGCCTCAGCTTTCTGAGTAGCTGGAATTACAGGCACACGCCACTATACCTGGCTAATTTTTGTGTTTTTAGTCGAGAGAGAGTTTCACCATGTTGGCCAGGCTGGTTTTGAACTCCTGACCTCAAGTGATCCGCCGGCCTTGACTTCTCAAAGTGCTGGGATTACAGGTGTGAGCCACTGCGCCCGGCCCAGCTGAGGTGTTTGACTCTCACCTTTAAGCTCTGAATTTTCAGACTGCATGTTCATACTTTAAGGAGGGGAAAAGAGCTGGCCAAACGATTTTCTGCCTGGGTCAACGAATATGGCAAGGTCAGTGCAGGCAGGCAGGGGCAGAGGACTGGATGGCTTCATCAAAGGCATTAATTTATCAAGTTGGATTTTAATTGCAAGAATTCAGGGGAAATAATGGAAATTGGCAATGCCTTAACATTTCATGGATTTTCAGTGGAGTTAGTTTGTCCCTGTTCAAAACAAGCAATCCTGCATGGGGAGACTCCTCTCCAATAGTAACTCTTTCCATTTGTCCATTTGTAGCCCCGCCATCTCCAGCAGGCTCCCAAAGCTGTCCCAGGATCAGTCGCCAGTACACCTCGCCATCTTCAGAAGTGTGGCTCTGTGGAGTGCCTCCAAAGCAGGAGCCAGTCCTTCTTTCAGCTGAATTTGCCACCCCTTATTTCTTTATGCAATATCTCACTCTCCTTGATATGGCTTGGTTATGTCCCCACCCAAATCTCATCTTGAATTGTAGTTCCTATAATCCCCAGGGGAAGGATCCAGGAGGAGGTAATTGAATGATGGGGGCAGTTCTGGTGATAGTGAGTGAGTTCTCACGAGATCTGATGGTTTTATGAGGGGCTCTTCCCCCTTTTGCTCAGCACTTCTTGTTGCTGCCACCATGTGAAGAAGGATGTATTTGCTTCCCCTTCAGCCATGGTTGTAAGTTTCCTGAGGCCTCCCCAGCCATGCTGAACTGTGTGAGTCAATTAAACCTCTTTCCTTTATAAACTACTCAGTCCCGGTTATGGCTTTATTAGCAGTGTGAGAACGAACTAATGCACTCCAAGTGTCTCTGGAAGACTCAGGCCCAGAGATTCACTGTCCATCTCCAAGGACTCTGCACTGAGCGACCTGCCCTCAGTACTTTTACCCATGAGGGAAATGAAACACCTTCGATGGAGACTGGTCTGGGGTTCTGAAGGGCACGAGGGATTGAGCTGCAAGGGTCCTGCTTCCAGGAGTCCCTGTTTATCTCTCATTTTTGAGTCAGAAAAAGGCCCCTGGATATTTGTGTGTAGGCTCTACTTTCTTGGGTTTCTCCATGTCTCTGAAAACATGGCTGCCCATGAGAAGTGTTTAAAGAAATGAACTTTACCTATTAACTTGTTTAGCTCTCATATGAGATAAGGTGATATAATCATAATGGCTCTTAATTTCAGAATGCAAGCATAAGGCCACACATTTTACGTACACACACACACACACACATACACACACACAGAGAGAGAGAGAGAATATATGTATATACACACACACTCACACTTAAATGATGTGTGTGTGTGTGTGTACTTAGTAAGCACCGAATAAATGCTTACTAGCTAAATGATGAAGCTAGTTCTAACCTGTTTTTGAAGAATTGGCAATTGGAGAGAGGATGTATGTAATTTAAAAAATTTTAAAGGGGACATAGCTATAGAGATATCAATCTTTTGAGTTTTTTTTTTTTTTAAGAAATGGAAAGTGTTGGTTGCATAACTCCTTCCACCTGTAATGTGTCTTAACAATTTAATTTTTGGCTTGCAGCTAGTTTGGAAAAGTCCTAGTTATCATGGTTGTGTACTTTAATGTGCTTCCCTCTAGTGATTCCTGGGGTAAGGGAAAGTGTTTTGCATGCAGTAGATGCTTAATAAGTATTTGTTGATTAAGTAAATGAGTAATATTGGAATAGAGATCAGCAAGCAGTAGGTCATGATGGTTTTACTGTTTTATTCACTCATTCACTTACTTCACACACAAAAAATTGATCTCCTACTATACACCAGGCATGACTCTAGACACTGGAGGTACATCTGTGAATGAGACAAAACTTTCACACTTAAGGATTGTATTCTAAAAGGGATGGCAGAACATAAATCAACAGGAAAATATCCAGAGGTGGTAAACTATGATGGCACGTAGGCATGGTGAGATTTGAACCAGGGAGGAAAGGCCATTGGGCTGGAGCTGTTGAGAGTTACAGCCGAGGCCAGAAGCACAGTGCTGAAGCCTGAAGAGGACAGAAAAAAAAATCCCAACCACTTGCTTCTGCCCTCTGACCTCCTTCTGATACCTCCCGTTAGATGAATAAAATGTGCGGCCAAAGAGCTTGAGTCTGGATGATGTAGTCCCTAGGGGACGGAGCACAGAGCAGGGCAGAGAAAGACAGAATATAATCAGGGGCATGAGGCTGGGAAATAATTATGTCTAATGAACATTTGTTAAACAACAAAGGATTCTTTTGGCATACAGAATTTTCTTTGCTACTCATATGCAGAATTGTAATGAAATAAATCATTTTTCAGTTTGGAACTCTGCAATAAATGGAAACATTTCATTAATATTGCAGAATAAAACTTGAGAGATTACCACCATTTAGCTTCCTTCCCCCTCTTTCTTTCAGGAATCCTCTTCTGTTAATGGGGATTAAGAACAGATGCGTGTATGTCCTCTTTTAGACTCTTCATGTGTTCTCTTCTCCCCAAATTGTCATGTATGGGGAACCTGCTAGTATGGCTAGAGTGGCAGGAATTAAGTCACAGATGTATAATTTTCACTCAACATTCTTTCAGAAGAGGTTAGATCAAGAAGAATTAAGACGATTCCAGAAACAGAAGAACAAGGAGACCCAGGGAGGGAGGGGTTTATTTGATGGCTGTTGGGAACTGGATTTGTGCAAACACTCAAGGCTGGCAGAATACATTTAATACACGCTCTTGACCTGTAAGGGCACTGAATTGAGAAAAGTCTGCAAGAGTTGTCTGGGCTTGTTCTTCAGAAGGAAAAAGGCAAGGTGTAATAGGGGAGCTGAGTACATGTCTTGTGACCCAGGAAAGGGAGAGGAGAGCATTGTTATGGTGTGATCAGAGCCAGAGCAGTGTGGCTGAGGGGAAGCAGTTTGACTGGGAAGCTCCTTGTTCCTTTGATAACCAGGTATGAAGATGACTAGCCATTCATTGTGCAGAGACAATGCTATATGAAAACTTTACTTTTCCTCCTGGACATGAAGACCTTTTTCATAGCTCCCTTTCATCTAAGTAGGCCAGATGGCTGTTCTGGCCAAAGAGATATAGATAGAATTCAGCACAGTGCTGAAGCCTGGAAAGGGCACAGATCTTATCTATACCTGGCCTAGCAAAAAAAGATCCTCCTTAGTTTCCCACTGTAACTGAGAGTGGAGACATCCCCAAGATTGTTGTGGGAGGCCGTACAAATCTGTAGGGAAGCTTGGAGTAATGTGGGAGTTTAAAGAAAACGCAAAGAAACTCTGAGGCATCTGGCTGGTATGCTCAAAATTTGGAATGTGGCACCATTTGTTTTGTGTTTGAGGCTAGTCTAGTCTATTTATATGATTACCGGGCTTGGAGAATTTTAAGAAAAACACTGCTGCCATTTAGAATTTCCTAGATTTGATGGCCTCAACTGAATGTTATTATTTAAGTACTAAATTAGATCAAAGGTTGAGCATCTTATGTTGGTTACATTTTACTTGCTCATTTGGAGGGGTAAGGTAGAAGAGAAAGGCTGTAAGGGCTTGTCTACACAACAATGGGATTTTATTTCCTAAAACGTTTTGTTGCAAATGATGATGCACCTGTGACAAGCTGGCTGTGGTCAGGGTGGAAATGGGAAGACAAACCACACTTAACCTATGACTTCTAAATAGTCAGGGCTGAGCTAGACCAGAGTTGGGCTTTTCTCTGAGTTACAAAGCAAGTCTCCATTGATGTTTTATACCTTTTTCTTTCACTAGTCTTCAAGCTGTTGAAATATTTTTTCAATTACTTGTCATTTGTTGTTGTTTTGTCTAGGTGAATCATCATGAAAACTAAGTAGAGAAAAAAAACAAACACCCCAATCATCAGAGAAAGGATATTTCAAAACTGCCCATATTTAGTAATTGACTAAGGTCTTATTGAATGCAGCTTTATTGATAGTGATGAGATTACAAAATAACACTGCATACATTTTAGTTCGTTGTTCCTTACATAGTACCAGAATGTTTTAAGCAAATGAAATTTTTTTTGCCAAAATCTGCTGAATAAATAAAAAGTTTTTAAAGAATATCCAAGACAAATAATTTATTCCAAATTCCCTGAGAGGGCAAATTAAATGGTCTTTACCCAACGAATGTGCTGGAGGGTAAATCTTTAATATTTTAGAGTGTTTAATTCTCATAATTACCAATAGAGCACTGTTTGGAAAATTATGCTGTAGGTTTTTTTGGCATGAAAATAAATACTGAAAAGTAATTCCTTTTAATGCTGCCTTGTGCTGGAGAACCTATTCATCAGTGGCTGGAATAGGGATCTAGCTCATTCAGAGATTACATAAATTCATTTGGTTGTAACTAATGGAAAAAAATTAATGAGGTGATTTTAGTTTCTTTCACCTAGTAACTTGGATGAGTTCTGAAGACACTTGGCCAGGATAACTATCAAAAAAATAAAATTAAAAAGTTGACCTTTTAGAACATACATATTTCCAGGTAAACTTCTATTTACATGCGTATTTGTAAAATACACTTACTACAACTGCTGCTGTACCTTAAATCATAGAACCATTCAGTACTCACTTTCTTATGGCATCAATTATACCTCCTCACTCATAACACTTCACTACCATCTAATCATCTTTTAAAATTATACGAATCTGTACCATCACTGTCCTTCTATTCAAAACCATTCTTACAACATACGAAGTAAAAATAAAATTCATTCAGTGCACTGAAAGCAACTAATGCATCAGGGATGACAATTTGGCACCAAGAACCTAACTAAAAATGGACAAACTACGTTAAAGTTTGGCTTCCTGCAGACTTTCTCATCAGGTCTCTGGCCCATTCGGAAAAAGAGAGCTTGAATTTTATTATTTCAGCTGCTGGGTAACATGCAATTTCTCTGATACATTGAACTGATGCTTTTATTTGATCACAGGACTCAGACGTTACAAAAATAACAAGTCATTTTCTTTAATAAAAAATAAAAGGAAGTATATGGTTGGGTCCTAAGATTCTGGAGAGTAATTGAATGTAAGCTTAAAAACATACTAAATATTTTCCACTTGGGAAATCTGGAGAAACTAGGTTTCTAGCAGCAACTGCTTCAATAGGTGGTTTAAAGAATATGTTTTGCTTACACATGAAAGGGGACACACATTATTTTGATTCTGCATACTTTTATGTCTTTCAATTGGCAATACAAGATGTTCCAGGATATGAAACTTTCATCAATCCTTACATTCCATACTCCTCGCCAATGTGGTATGTCAGAAATTCCAACATTCCAAATTCATATTGGTCTTTATTTTCCTAACTGTTGAAGCAGAAGATGGAACAGCAACGTACCTAAGAATCTGGTAAGCTCACATATGTGGATTTTCTGAGTTTTCAGATAAACAATGAAGAAAATAAGTTAAATAGTAATTTTAAATGATTTATCCAGCTCTAACATGTCTCCAGTTTCATCTCTAGAAAGCCACTGCCAAGTTTTTGCACAATCTATTTTATCAAGCTTTGATAGACGAAAAATCCTCTAGTTTCAGTATCTCTTCTCATTATTCCATCATGTAATGTTACAACTGATTGATTCTCATTTCATTTCAAGCCCTAGGTCCTCCTTTTCATACAATACTTCCAAGATGTCAATGGGAACACATCTATTAGTGTGCATCAAGGAATTACATCTATTCGCCCACTTATGATGTGTAGTCCACAATAAAACACCTTTTCTCTAAAAATTAACCGTATACTATAGGCTTCTCAGTTGTATGAGTGTGTGAGTATACACACATAGACATACACCAAGGCAATATACCATATCCACATACACCAAGGTAAAAGATTCTTTGTGTAGGATAAGGAAACAGCCCAGTGCTTTTACATTAATAATGTCTTATTCTTAATTTACAGCGTTTGTAGCCCTTACCTGAGTGTTATCATTAAATACCCAGAGATTGAACTTTTCATAAGGGGCAATGATATAAAATTGTTCCACAAAGTGTACTATATGAACCACTTTTCACAGTTCAGATAACATATTTTAGAAATAAATATCATAACTCTAGCAACAACCTATCTACACAAAGTGGAGAGGATGAGATGAATGAAAACCAAATTATATTTCCATATAACTCATATTCAATTCCTAAATAGCTTGTTTTATTTTTCAAAATCCAATTGCACATAACCCATAATTGATAGGCCACTTCCTCTCCAAAACAAATAAACTATCAAAGAATAAAGTGATAAATTATAAAAAAGGAAAATATGTATCATTTACTACAGTCATTCCCTTTCCTCAAAACTTGGCAAACATATAAGAAAAATGCTATCAAGTGGATATACTTTGATTATAAATCCAAAGCTAATTTGGAGCAGATGAGATTAATAAAAATAGGACAGAATGAGCATATATTTTTATATATGTGAGATGAGTGTTTGATTTTTACTTAAGAAATCAGGAGGATCCATATGAAATGGGAAACAATGGCATTTATCAACAGGAGAACCCGTTCATCCAGTTACTACCAAATCTGCAAATTCCAAATGTTTCTTTCATTCTTGTCTTACAAAAGATTGGGGCAAATAAAATTATTATTATTAGTTGTATAAACTTCAGGCTTTCTAAGCTTCAAGCTAATGGTCCTTAGGGACATAGTTTTATCGGTGATCTTTGCAGGGCGTACATTAGGGCCAAGGTTGCCTTTAACCAGGTTGGTGTAGCTTTTATGGTGAGGGTAAGGCTCCCAGGGTATGTGAAATTCTTCTTTAACAGAGGACAAGGGATAAAATGCAAATCCTTCTAGTTGAAACAACCACATGACTTAAATTTACACTATAAATTAAATGACTCAAATCAATTCCTTGATTGACAGCAGGATTTTATGGTAGAAAATAAACTGGGGCCTGAGGCATGGAAAAAGAGAAATGTCCGCTAACGCAAAGGTTATCAACTTTACGGTCCCTGGGTGGAATCCCTATTCCTTTTCGGTCAGATCTTGTTTTAAGCTTTATTACGTTGTCATGGGATATCTTTCAAAATCCTTTACTCAATCACATTTGGGGGAAAAATTGCGTTGAAATAGAGAATTAAATCTTAAGTCTACGTAGATCGACAATTTCCATTTTTAAATAAAATCTATATGAATATCTTCAACTTCCTAAAGAAAAAAGAGAGAGAGGAAAATAAACTTTTGAACATGAAATCACTTACATAAACCTCAAGTGTACTAAAGTGTAGAGGAAAAAATCTCAAATGTGGGTGTAACCGCCATACATTTAGGAAACATGCCGCCTTGGAACAGTGCCTATAACGAATTCCGTCTGCCACCCAGTGGCCGCTGAAATAAATTGTTTCTTTTGTTGGCCATGGCCCTGTATTTTGATTTAAAAAAAAAAAAAAAAAAGACAGAGGTAGATTATGCCATACCAGGAATTTAAAGCCATCAGGACATGTGCCTCGACATATTTTACAATACAATCAGTGTAGTAAATGTTAAATATTTTCCTTTTCGCGAACTCAGAGGTTAACCACGTGGCTCTATGAATAAATAACGTATTCTTTCTGCGTCCCTGCATCTACCTGGGCTCAGATACTGACTGGCACAGAAGATACCGAACTGGCCCGGGATTCCCGAGTCACGTTGTTGGGCATCGAGAGGGTGCAGCAGGACACGCCGACGGTGGCCTCGGGTAGCTCGTCGTCCTCCATCCACTCGTTGAGCTCGGGGCTGAAGCACTGGATGCACTTCTTGTACTTCTTCTCGCCCTCGTTCCAGCCCCCGACCAGGTAGGCGCGGCCGTGCAGGGCCGAGACGCCCGCGGTGCTCACTCCCACCTGCAGCGGCGCCGCGTAGCTCCACTGACCTGTCGCGGGGCTGTAGCACTCCACGGTGAGCACGTCCACGCGCTCCCCGCGCGGCCCTAGCTGGCTGCCGCCCATCACGTACACTCTGTCGCTCAGCGTGACTGCGCAGTGCCAGCCCCTGGGTGTGCTCAGGCTCGGCAGCTCCTGCCACAAGTCGCTGGCCGGGTCATAGGCGCACACAGAGCGTGAGTATGCGTTGGCGATGTAGCCTCCGGTCACCAGCACGCGGCCGTCGGCGACCGCACTGGCATGGCAGCAGCGCGCCACCTCCAGGGGCGTCTTCGGCTGCCACTGATTGGTGGAGGGCACGTAGCACTCCAGAGAGGCCAGGCTTCCTTCTGCGTTGCGGCCGCCCGCGGCGTACAGGAGCCCGTTGAACACGCTCAGGCTGAAGTGCGTGCGCTTCTGGTTCATGCTGGCCAGGTGTATCCAGGTGTTGAAGCGGGGATCGTATCTGGAAATGACAGAGAAGGTGTAACAGCTTTGTCGACGGCAGCTGGGGACCCCATGTTACTCCGCAAACCATAGTGGGAAGCCTGACACTACCCCTGCAAGGAGGCGAGGACCTGGTCCAGCTCCTCACCTGGAGGCTGGCGTTTCTCTCTCAGCCAGTAAAAATGTGTGACACTTGCTAAAGACAAAGCAGGCATTGAGTACCCCTCGCCCCCGCCTTTCCTCCGTTTATAAGCACTCCCTTTATGGGGCCGCTTGGAGAAGAACCCACAGAGACTGAGCTTTCAGCCCCCGTTTCCTCTATATTCAAATATCTACATACAGCGGGATTTATGAGATGTACACATGGGGGATACTGGGCATTTGTGGTGATCAGAGGAGGGCAACGCCATATTAAAGTCAATTCTGCATATCTTCAGATGCCAACCATTCCCAGCTCCCTCTCACTGTTTAAGATACGAATTGACTGATTGGATTTCTCAATTTCTCGCAAACCCCTTATTTCTACACCTCTCTTGGCCATTGCGACAGTAAAGCCCAAGCCACTCAACAAAGTCTTCTCCTGTCTGTTAGACTGAGAGCAATGGAACTCATGTCTAAAAGCATCATCAAAGGCTTAACTTTGGATACTTTTCTATTTTCCAGCACTTATTGGTAGAGAAGACTTTTTAGTTTAAGGATAAATATATATATATATTTTCAGTGCTTGGAACTATCCATGTATAAGCACTGAAATCAATACCTCAAAAAGCGACTTGAGTACTAATAGGTGTCTTTTCAACAGGAGGAAAATAAGCATAGTGAACTGATGCTTTCCTGTTGACATAGTTCAGAAATATTGTAAATACAGAACTCACTCCTTCAGTGTGATGTTCGTCTTTGTCCCATGTAACTTTGTCCCATAGTTAAGATTAAACTTAACTATAGTTACAAATTAAACACTGAAAATCAGTTAATTGTGTTCTTTTCAATGCATACACACATAATGGAATAATAAAGAATATTTTTCATGAAATGCTACACAAATTTTCAGATCTTGCTCATTAGTTATGTTTGACTTCATACTACTACCATGATATAAGCATGATTTTCTGAACATTTCATATAAACGGAAGTTTAATTTTTAATCATAAATATATAAAATAATATGGCATTTGAATTCCATTTTTCTGAAGGATGTGTTTTACTCTTTTACCCTTTTCTATATGTGTCAACAATATTGACACATTTTCTGTTATTCGGTTTTCAAATAAGTATTTCAAAAGAATTAGCTGCCACAGTTTTAGTGATCTCATTCTATTTGCCAATTACGAATTTGACAGTTGTCAGTAGTAGTCACTTAAAATAAATTTTGTTTTATTCTATTCTTTCTTACTACTTAGTGTTAAAAACTAAATTTGTACCTAATTTCTATCAAAAATCAGTATATTGTGAAGAGTACCCAACTAGAAATGAGTAAATGTGAATTGCCGCTTACTGGTGTTATAACTTCTCTGGGTATCAGGTTTCTCATATGTAAAATCAGAATAATTATCTCTTCCCCGCCCACCTCACAGGCTTGCTTCAGGAATCTATAGTGCAAAATATATATGAATGCACTTTATGTAATATAAAGTGCTGAACATACGTAAGGTGGCATTACTATTATTTTTGATTTACTAAGCCAATGGACTAAGCTAATAAGCAAGATTAATTTATTTCTATGTTAGGGCTATTTCCCTATAATATTGAAGCATTTCAGTTCCTAATAAAAGATCAAGTACCTGCAGAAATTGCTGACTGCATGCTTGGCTTGATTTCTTGCATCATTCTGGTCTTCACCACCGGCTACATAAAGAAATCCATCCATCACAGCCACACACTGATTAAAACTTTTGGCTGGCATTTCTGTAAGCTTGCTCCACCCATTTTCAGGGTCTCTATACAAAATGTCTCTGCTAAGGGACTTCTCAGTAAGGCCTGGGCGTCCCCCAACGGTGACGAGGACTCGGCAGCCGCCTCGGATTCTTGTTCGCCTAGATTGTAATGTGTTTTGATGATATGGAAGCAAGTGGTAGTTCATAGCATCTACGAGAAGTTTGTGACAATCAGCATCTTGCATCATTCTTGGGACGGATTGAACATAATTGACCAGGTCTTGTGCAGAGATGGTACCAAAGCGAATATTGCTCAAAAGATCTGCAGCGTATTTTACTCTCTTTTGGTCAAATTCTAACCATTTCATTGCAATCTGGAATGCTACTATCTCAGAAGGCAACTGTAAGTCATCATCTATAAGCAGTTCATTAATTTGTTCAAATGTAAGTTTCATAAACTGATCCGATTCTGCAAATTCAAGGAAGTTATCCCGAATAAATTTCTGGGCTGCTGCTTTTGCATTTTTTAGGGAGTATGTTTCAGCAATATTAACAACATACATGCAGTTCTCAACACTCATCTCCCGTATCAGAAAATCACTGCACATCTTTACAAGAGTATGGATCTGAAGATAAACAGCGGCAGAAATAATGCTTCCTATTGTATACAAGGAGAGAGTGAGCTTTCCAGTGTAGGCATAAGCAATGACAGTGGCCAGGCCTAGTGGTGAGATATCATTGAGATCCACCCTCTGAGTTGATGGGTCTTTTTTCAGGATGTTGTAAAAATACTCACTGCATGAAGCCATCACTGACTTATGAACGTCAAAGGATTTGGTTTTGGTACCAATGACTAAGTCACATAGGAAGTTCTCCTGCCGCATTTTACTTAAACCTTCCAAGAGGTTGGGGCCATAAGAAGCATCTGTTAGTTCAGAGGAAATGCAGCTAAGGCCATTGCCTCCCTCTAGGAGCCCATTCAAAGCATTCAGTTTGTTTAGGGGGCTATCTTCTACGATTATAGTCATCTCATTGATATCTCCTTTGTTCTTTTTGGCAATCTTCTTTTTGGGTGCCATGTTGGCAAATACACTGTCACAGGCAAGAGCTTGCTAAAAAAAAGGAAAAAAAGGCATAGTTTTATTTTAATTGTGCTTTAGACTTTGAAATACTACACTGAGAAACCTTTTCATAAGATAATAGTTTTCATGGCATAAAATAGATTAATTTTAAAAAATAGATTTAAAGACACATTAAACTAGATGCACATTTTACAGATAGGTTACTTCAGCATGAAGCATTGAAGACAATTCTAGGAAGATTTATGTTATCAAATGAAATCTCTCCATAACTGTATTGCCAGGTAATTATACAGAAAAACTGACCACGTTTTCTTTCCTTTTTTTTCTTTCTTTTTCTTTTTTTTTTTTTTTGAGACAGAGCCTCTCTCTGTTGGCCAGGCTGGAGTGCAGTAGCATGATCTCAGCTCACTGCAACCTCTGCCTCTCAGGTTCAAGCGATTCTCCTGCCTCAGCCTCCCAAGTAGCTGGGACTACAGGTGTGTGCCACCATGCCCAGGTAATTTTTGTATTTTTAGTAGAGATGGGTTTTCACCATGTTGGCTAGGCTGGTCTCGAACTCCTGGCCTCAGGTGATCTGCCTGCCTCCACCTCCCAAAATGTTGAGATTACAGATATGAGCCACTGTACCCAGCCAACATTTTCTGATTGAGCTATACAGTAGAATAGTAGTTAATTATCATTTAAAGGGTTTAGTTTACTCTCATGAAAAAGTGAATTATAAACACTCCGAAGATTTTCCTCAGTAAAATACTAAAATTCAGGAATCCATATGAAATGTAGAAAATATTATCAAAAGATTATTTTATTTGCAGTAGCAATGAAACCTGTTATATTTTAAGAGATATACATACTTGACTCGAATTTAGTGAGACACGTATGATAAGTACTATCAGATTTTGCCAGAGGATTTAACAGAGAGGGACTCTAGAGTCCTATATGAAGAGATGGATGTCAATTCAGTGAAATTTTAATTGCTACCTCTATATTTTTTCTTTTTGGAAATTAATAAAATGATTTCAGAGTTTAACTGAGGGAGTGAGTATAAAAGAACATCTAGGAATATTGTTTAAAAATAAAGGAATTCTTACCAGATGTAAAAAAATTAGAGGAACTAAAAATTTTGGATAAGGAATAAAAAGAAATTCAGTGGAGTAAGATAAGAGGTCGAAACCTATAAACTCACCAGAACAAAATAAAGGGTAGAAACCCGTATATGTGTGTATGTGTGTATAGATATATACAGTATATATGTGTGTGCATATTTATATATTTATATAGTATATGTGTGTGAGTATATATATTAGGATAAATGTGGCGCTTAAAAAATCAATGGGCAAGAACTTGTAATGATAGCATTAGGTCAATATATAGATTTCCTACTCTATATATTCACTAAAATAACTTCCAGATGAATTAAATATCTAAGTAACATATACACATACACAAACTTACATCAATCAGAACAAGCTAGGGATCTTGTTTTTGTTTTTGTTTTTACATCTTAGGGTAGGGAAGGCCCTTCTCAGCTGACACAAAATCCAGAAGCCATAAAAGGAAAGACTGAAATATCGGAATATAGAAAAATAAAAACATGAAACAAAACTGACTCTTTAAAAGGCAAGCAACAGACTGGGAAAACAAGTATTTTTAACCTTTTGGTTTTTGAGATAGGGTCTCATTCTATCACCCAGGCTAGAGTGCAGTGGTGTGATTTTGGCTTACTGCAGCCTTGATTTCCAGGACTCAAGCAATCCTCCCACCTCAGCCTCCTGAATAGCTAGGGCTACAGGTGCATGCCACTATGCCTGCCTATGTTTTTTTGTATTTTTTTTTTTTAAGAGAATGGGTTTCACCATGTTGCCCAGGCTGATCTCAAACTCCTGGGCTCAAGCAATCCACCTGTCTTGGCCTCCCAAAGTGCTAGGATTACAGGCATGAGCCGCGTTGGCCAGCCTAATCTGATGATTTCTTTGGTGCAAATACACTCATCATGGCTGATTTCAAGCTATCAACTGCTTAACAATCAGCTTGCCAAATTTCTGAAAATTCAACAATCAGCTCTTGTGAGCCAGTGTAAGCCAGCTCCAACATAACACTATGGAAAACTTACATCAAAACAGGTTTATGCTAATTATTCAACAATTTTCTCTTTTCACTAGCAGTAACTCATGTACATCTTTCCATAGCAGTACATGTATAAATCCACCTCATTCCTTAGAATATACATAGTAAGGGTATATCATACATTGTTCAACTATTATCCTGTTGATAAGCATCTATGTATTTAGGTGGTTTACAATTTTTTGTTTTTGTTGTGTGTATGTATGTGGGAGGGGAGGGGTGGTATGTGTTTTAAATCCCACTGTAATTTTATCCTGAGGGGTAAAACTCAGCTTTGGCTCTCCTTGAAGGGTTATCAATTTGATGGGTGGTGTATGTGTTAAAGTAATTTTGTAGCCCTTCTATTGTATTTGCTCCTGTTCCTATCCATGCAGAAGAAGAGTAGCAGGTAGGCAGAAAATAGAGATGGTCTATTTCTTTTCCAGGGCTTTTGTTTTCTTCTTTAAGCTCCAGTTATCATATTCACATTTATATTTTTTACAAGACTATAGCACATATATCCTTCATTCTTTTTTTTGCAAACAATGCAAAATGCGTCCTTACCTTGTGAAAATAGATTATGAACCCACTATCATTTTAATGCTCAAATGCATTAATTTATGTGTTGAGTGTCTCCTTGTTGGACTTTCTGGGAGAAACTTTTGAATATTTGTCAGCAAGCGGTTATCAGATCTCCATCTTGGTGTGGGCAGCACAGTGCTGGGAACGATGGAGCAGTACAAGATGTAACTTATATTAGAGAGACAAGACATGGCAAATGTAAAATATTAATAAGGAGCTAGGTAAGCATAGCAGAGTAAATTTGGGGGGAAAAGTCCTGTCTGTGTTCCTGGAAGAACTCCTGTGGCCCATTTTTTGTTATTCATATAGATACAGAATTTGTAAATGCTCATTGTTTAGAGGAAATCCTGAGTCTGAGGAGTAATCTGAGTGCCTCAAACTGAAATGCTAAATATTCTGTTATCCATCATTAAGATGTTGTTTCATAAGTAGCATGTAAGGGTCATATTTAAAATATTGATTACTGATAAAACAGGACATCTACTAACCAGAATGGATTCAGGCCACAGTGCTGGACCTGGGTCCCAGTGACTCCCTAGGGTACACTGTGTAATTCTTCAGTTACTAGGTAATAGACCCAGGAGAGGGTGGAAGGGTGGGAGGGACTCAGAGAAGCTCAGGGCAGTAGCTGTTTGGCTATTTCAATTTGTTTGATATACACATAATATTTACAGAGAGATCTTAATATTTTAGCATACTTTCTGATCCAAATGGAATTAAATTAGAAATTAATAACAATAAGTTGTCTAGGAAAACCATTTAATTTTCAATATTTGAAAATTAAACAGTTTCCTTTTACATTATCCATGAGTCAAAAAAGAAATCACAGGAGAAATTTTGATAATATTTCAAATAGAATGACAATGAAAATATAACATAAATACCAATTTTACTACTTATCTGCCGTGTGACTTTTGATAGATTACCTAGCCTGATAGATTACGTAGCCTCTTACAGTCTCCATTGACTTATTTCTTAAGAGAAGATAATAATAGTGCCTGCCTCTAGGGTTGTCAATGAAAGCCTAATGAGGAAATGTCTGTAACAGCATTTTGCAGAGTACCTGACAAAAAGTGAATGTTCAAAAAAATTTGAACCATTTTCATGACAAGCAATAGCCTTTGTTAGTTGTCTTTGGGAATAAAGAAAGGAGCCTGTTTAAGCTTTAGAGTGAAGCGAATCAGAGAAAGCCACCACATCATGGACAAGCAGTCATGAGGAGCAGGAGGCAATATGGGACAGTCACATAGTGACTCAGAAAAGAAGTGGCAAACAGCAACCAAGGGAAGAGTTCTGGAACATGTAAATATTTCTATGAGATTTTTTAAAAATGCCAGGAAGAGAAAGGGAATACATACAAATACACAACCTGAGAAATAGTTTTTCATTTTGATAGGTAGGGCTAACCCCAAAAGTTCAGAAAACTTGGGGCATTTGGTTATAGGTTAGGTGAGCAAAACAACAGAGTACATGGAACAGATTGTGTATCTGGATTGAAGGATTCAAATAAAAAGGACTATTGTGGTGGGGTGGTGTTAGAATGGCAGGTTTTGCAGATAACACGAATCTTGTTGGGTCCTGGTAACTGAAGGGTTTTAAAGAGCAGCATGTATAGGAGGGAGAAGGTTATTAGAAGTACAGGAAATGTTTCAAGTTGCAGCAGGGAGGCATTACTCAGCCTGTCACATGCATTCAGAGATGGCTGAGGTCATGAGGGAGATAGTTGGGCAAGTAATGTTCGGTCAATACATATAGGAGGTTGGATGCCAAGAAGGTTTGAACCTGATAAATTCATATGCAGTCCGGAAGGACTAAGAAATCTCCAGGAAGAGAGAGCGCAACTTGAGGCTAGATGAAATAGTGAAATCAGTAAAAGCTTGCTCTCTCTCCATTTTCTTTCTCTTACTTCCTATTGATGGCTTCTCTTTCCTCCATTGCCTGACCTTCATGCTGCTCCTGGTGTTCCCACTGTTGACCCAGCCCTGGCCTGTTCCACTCACGGGAACTTCCATGCCCTTCTTTTTCTTTATATTCTCTTGCCCTTGTCCTATTTCTGTCTGATATACACATCTAGATGTGTCCACTCACGGGAACTTCCATGCCCTTCTTTTTCTTTATATTCTCTTGCCCTTGTCCTATTTCTCTAAGACCCCTCTGGGTAATACATTAGCTAGTCTGACAAATGAATCCAAGCTAACCAGTTAATGGGCAGATCTACTCTTTTTCTCAGATATGCATGGTTTTTGTTTTATAAATAAGTGTCCTTCTATGACTCACATACAAATTTCTATCAGAGTAGCCTTTGTAGAATACATATATTCATATATATGTACTGACTTGCTGAATAT